CTCAACCAAAAGAAACCCAGTTTTTTGCAGTAGTCTGAGTTTATATTTACTCATTTTCTCAGCTTATCTCAGGATGAAGATGATGTGGTAAAGAAGACATGGTGCAACCTCATTTGGAATACTGTGTGCAATTCTGGTCACCACACCTTAAAAAGGATATTATAGCTTTGGGAAAAGTGCAGAAAAGGGCAACTTGAATGATAAAAGGGTTGGAACACTTTCCCTATGAGGAAAGGTTAAGGCACTTAGGGCTCTTTAGCTTGGAGAAACGATGACTGAGGGGTGACATGATCGAGGTTTATAAGATTATGCATGGGAAAGAGCAGGTAGAGAAAGAGGTACTTTTCTCCCTTTCTCACAATACAAGAATTCGTGGGCACTCCATGAAATTGCTGAGCGGTCGGGTTAGAATGGATAAAAGGAAGTACTTCTTGACCCTCATGGGATAGAGCAGGTAGAGAAAGAGGTACTTTTCTCCCTTTCTCACAATACAAGAATTCGTGGGCACTCCATGAAATTGCTGAGCGGTCGGGTTAGAATGGATAAAAGGAAGTACTTCTTCACCCAAAGAGTGATTAACACATGGAATTCACTGCCACAGGAAGTGGCTAATGTGTAATTATATATAATGTATGCTATACTTGGCTAATGTGTAATTTATATGAAGGTGCAAGGTATAGACAGGGACTCTGGGGCAAGTGTGCTCTGTCTTCTTGGTGCTTGGGGGGGGTCAACAGTGGGAGGGCTTCTAATGTTCTGGCCCCACTGGTGGACCTCCTGATGGCACTGGTATTTCTGGCCACTGTGTGACACAGAGTGTTTGACTGGATGGGCCTTTGGCCTGATCCAACATTGGCGTCTCTTATGTTCTTATGTTCCTGGAGAGTTTCAGTATATTATACCTGTCAGAGGCTGAAAAAGAAACTAATGCCATTTTTCTTGTCATCAGTTTGACCTATTGCAGTCCTTAATCAGTTGACTGGTCAATGGGATTCTACTTTCTTTCTTGAATTGTCATGGACAAGAATAGATGATCCACTGGGCCCTGTTTTCCTCTTTCAGAGATCCCCAGTGTCCTTTGAGGAGGTAGCTACGTTCTTCACGATGGAGGAATGGGCTCTCCTGGATGCAAGCCAAAGAAAATTCTACTGGGATGTTACGGAGGAAATCTACGAGACCGTGGCCTTTCTGGGTAAGGATCTTTCTCCTTCTGTAATGATCGTGGAAGAGATGGGAGGAGGTGGCCTTCTCCTCTTTGACCCTCTTTGATTTCAGGGCACACTTTCATTTGCCACATAGGAACAAACGGTGCTCCCTCAGTTGGGGACCTTAAAGCCCCTGAGAAAGAAAGCATAAAATACTTTCATGCTCTAAAGAGAAACCTGGCGATGAAGAGGGGTTGGGAGAAAGGGACAATATCCAGTTAGGTTCTTGCTGGGAAATCTCTGTGGCTCATCTTTTCTTCTTCAGCCTTTCTAATTTGACACGGTGTCCTTTGGGTGAGTGAGGCTGATGGGAGGAGAGGAGGAAAAGTATTCTTGATCTGACTAGACCAGAGGAGAGTCCCTTGCTCAGTGGTGGAGTTTCTGATCTGTGTCTCGAACGTCCGCAGTTCAGTCCACAGCACTTGACCAAGGGGGTTTACAGAGGAGGATCTTCAGTGTTAGGGCAGGGAAAGGCCCCTGCCTGAGGCCCTTCCGAGTCACCACCCCTTGGCGTGGAATCAGCTGGGTTTCATGGAAAGTTCTAGTCAGGATCTTGGTGGAGGAGAACATGAGAGTCAACTTTGAGGAAGGTGGTAGGCTGGGGAAGAGAAGCCAGGTGAGGGACACTGCTGCCGCCTTCCAAGTGATTCGTGAGGCAGAAGAACTTCCTCTTCCTGACCTTCTCCTCTTCCGTGGCCAGTTCAGAGCAGGTCCCAGTGGGATCCAAGCCAGGCATGGACCATGCCCGTGTCCTCTTTACCACATCATCTTCATCCTGAGATAAGCTGAGAAAATTAATGAAGACGAGACAAAGCCCTTCTCCCTATTCTGTCCGTGCACTTAACCACTACACCAAACTGGTGTAAACCTTTGCTTCTGTTGCAGGTAGCAGAGGGATGTCGTAGAGCTAATTTGAAGGGATGGGCACAGACCTGAACCCTTTTGCGAACCTCAAACTGAGGTCCCAGAAAGGAGCCTTTCCTTGACACTCGGTTTGGGTGTTTGGCTCCCAACACGCACACACCATTTCTGGGTGGCACCAGGTGACGCCCCCTGTACATCCGCATCATCCGGAAGTGACACGAGGGCATTGCCTGATGTGCTCGCATCAGTTCCGGGCAACACGGGAGCGTCGGGGGTGGTGCCCGACACCAGCCAGAAGTGATGCAAGCACACCGGGGGCCAGTGCACTTGCGTCCCTTCTGGATGACACAGGCATGCCAGGGCGGCTCTCGAAGTGCGCACGTCGGTTTGGGGGTTCAGTTCGGGGCCACCCAGTTTGCGAGCCCTGAACTGGGCTTTCCCAGTCTATGACAGTCCATACTAATTTGTGCCAGGATGGCTCAGTCCCCTTCATTTTGGGCACTGCATGTCCCACCATCACCTTGAAATTCGAGGCCAATGTTGAGGTGCCTAGCTTTATTTTTCCTTAATAAAAACAATTTCGCAGTCGAGCCTGGCTTCCACTGCAAAAAGCACATGGCAGGGGAGTCTGGGGATTGCATGTTCCAGCGTGTTCCAGTTCCTTCCATGTTTGGCACAGCTTCTGGGGGGGCACTTCGTTTCCCACTGTATTCCCTATCCCATGCTTTCCCTCTTTTTTTCCTGGCAACCCCCCTATCCTCGCTTTTCTCTGTCTCCTTCCCTCATTCCCACCCACCAGCCCATCTACCTTTGTTTGACCCCATCTTCACTTTCCCCTCCTTCCCTTCCCCAACAACTTCTACTAGGGGAAGATCTGGCCCAGTTACGCTGTGCCAGCCCAGCCCCTAGGGTGGGTCCCATTGCATGGTGCTAGCTGGGCTGGGCACAGTTGTACAGCAGGGAACCTTCAAGGACTTGAGAGGAGTCCCTTATTTTCCGCTGTATCTCTCCCCCCATACTATTTGTCTTTATTTGCCAGCCCCTGCATGCTCCAGTTTGCATGTTTCCTTCTCTGTTACCGTACTCGTAACCAATGCTTCCTCTAAACTGCGGAGTCTTGTGAGCAAAACTTCTACTTTGTGTGAGCTACTGGCATTAAAGTTGTGAGCGAGCGATTTGGCTACTGCATGGATTGGTTTGCTCTGGAGCCCTCCTTCCTTGAGCTAAGACAGAAATGTGTGAGCAGGAGGCTAAAAAACTGTGAGGTAGCTCACACTACTTCAGCTTAGAGGGAACGCTGCTCGTGAGCAACCTGTCTTTTAACTGCTCCCCCCATGTTCAGCTTTATTGATAATTTATTTGCATTATACTCCACCTTTCTTCACAGTAATGGTTCAAGCCAGGGTCATAGTCCAGGTTTCTGGAAAGATCTATCTTGTCTGTACATGTTTGGTGTGGTGGTTAAGTGTGCGGACTCTAATCTGGGAGAACTGGATTTGATTCTCACTCCTCCACTCACAGCTGCTGGATGACCTTGGGCAAGCCATAGTTCTGTCAGAGGTGTTCTTGAAAAGAGCAGTTTGTGTCGCAGCTCTCTCAGCCCCACCTTCCTCACGGGATGTCTGTTGTGGGGAGGGGAAGGGAAAGGAGTTTATAAGCTGCTCTGAGACGAGCGAAGGGAAGGGTATAAATCTAATCTCCTCCTCCTCTTATTTTCCTTTCATATCATCAAAAATATTTCAATACAATTCAATATTTTTTTTAAAAAAAACCCTGAAGTTTTTTCCGATCCCCACATTATAAAAAGTACTATTCACTGCTCAGTTTGTTAACTGGTATTTGTACCTTTTCATTCTGATATGATTTCTGTCTGTCTTGCAGTTGGAGGTGTGAGGGAAATGGTGAGTGAGAACGAATCAGGAAGGAGACTTGTGGAAAAAGAGAAGAATCTGCAGGTGGAAGCAAAATCTGGGGACCAAGTGGTATCAACGGGACAGTGCAGAAGGAAAAGGGAAGCAAGAGAGAAGCAAAGGAAGGAATGGATTGCTTGTCAGGACAAAAAGAAGCCTGAGGTCTCAGCCCAAGAGGAAACAGGGAGGAGAAAGAGAAGGCCTAATGGTTCCATGAATCAGAAAGGGTTCCACGGCAAATTCAGTGTTAAAACATGCTGGAAAACGTATAAATGCTTGGAATGTGGGAAGCTCTTCAATCGGAGTAATGCAGTAACTGTGCATCAAAGAATTCACACAGAGGAAAAGCCATACCAATGTTTGGAGTGTGGAAAGTGCTTCCCTCACTATGGCAGCCTAACTGGACATCAAAAGATTCACACATGGGAGAAGCCACATAAATGCTTGGACTGTGGGAAGAGCTTCCATAGGAGTAATACACAAATAATGCATAAAAGAATTCACACTGGGGAGAAGCCACATAAATGCTTGGACTGTGGGAAGAGCTTCCATAGGAGTAATACACAAATAATGCATAAAAGAATTCACACTGGGGAGAAGCCACATAAATGCTTGGACTGTGGGAAGAGCTTCCATAGGAGTAATACACAAATAATGCATAAAAGAATTCACACTGGGGAGAAGCCACATAAATGCTTGGACTGTGGGAAGAGCTTCCATAGGAGTAATACACAAATAATGCATAAAAGAATTCACACTGGGGAGAAGCCACATAAATGCTTGGACTGTGGGAAGAGCTTCCATAGGAGTAATACACAAATAATGCATAAAAGAATTCACACTGGGGAGAAGCCACATAAATGCTTGGACTGTGGGAAGAGCTTCCATAGGAGTAATACACAAATAATGCATAAAAGAATTCACACTGGGGAGAAGCCACATAAATGCTTGGACTGTGGGAAGAGCTTCCATAGGAGTAATACACAAATAATGCATAAAAGAATTCACACTGGGGAGAAGCCACATAAATGCTTGGACTGTGGGAAGAGCTTCCATAGGAGTAATACACAAATAATGCATAAAAGAATTCACACTGGGGAGAAGCCACATAAATGCTTGGACTGTGGGAAGAGCTTCCATAGGAGTAATACACAAATAATGCATAAAAGAATTCACACTGGGGAGAAGCCACATAAATGCTTGGACTGTGGGAAGAGCTTCCATAGGAGTAATACACAAATAATGCATAAAAGAATTCACACTGGGGAGAAGCCACATAAATGCTTGGACTGTGGGAAGAGCTTCCATAGGAGTAATACACAAATAATGCATAAAAGAATTCACACTGGGGAGAAGCCACATAAATGCTTGGACTGTGGGAAGAGCTTCCATAGGAGTAATACACAAATAATGCATAAAAGAATTCACACTGGGGAGAAGCCACATAAATGCTTGGACTGTGGGAAGAGCTTCCATAGGAGTAATACACAAATAATGCATAAAAGAATTCACACTGGGGAGAAGCCACATAAATGCTTGGACTGTGGGAAGAGCTTCCATAGGAGTAATACACAAATAATGCATAAAAGAATTCACACTGGGGAGAAGCCACATAAATGCTTGGACTGTGGGAAGAGCTTCCATAGGAGTAATACACAAATAATGCATAAAAGAATTCACACTGGGGAGAAGCCACATAAATGCTTGGAGTGTGGAAAGTGCTTTTCTTGGAATGGTGATCTAAATAAACATAAAAAGGTTCACACAGGGGAGAAACCCCATACATGCTTGGAGTGTGGAAAGTGCTTCTCTATGAACAGCAGCCTAACTAGACATCAAAAAGTTCATACAGGGGGGAAGCCACATATATGCTTGGAGTGTGGAAAAAGCTTTTCTCGGAATGACCACCTAACCGCACATCAAAAGAGTCATGCAGAGGGAAAGCTATAGAAATGCTTGGAGTATGGAAAGTGTTTTTCTCAGAATGGTGACCGAACTAAACACCAAAAGATTCACATAGTGGAAAAGTCACATAAATGCTTGGAGTGCGGAAAGTGTTTCTCTGGGAATGTCATCCTAACAGCGCATGAGCCGAAGAGCCAGCACTGTCCAAAGACAGACACACATATAAATTCCTAGAGTGTGAAAAGAGCTTCCATTGCACATCAAGAGATTCACACAGGGCAGAAGCCATGTGAATGCTTGGAGTGTGGAAAGCGGTTTGGTCACAGTCATAGCCTTACCTTACCCCACAAGGCTCACATGGGAAGAGCCTTCCAGTCGCAGTCAGCATGTAGAAAAACAGTTCAAGTGGCCGATCTTGCCAGTTTGTAGCTGTCAAGGCAGAAGCCATCTTAAAAGAAGTTTCCCATCTGTGTTAGGCTAACTTTAGTGTTCTCTGACTTCATGCAGGTGTTGACCACACAGTGGCAGATACTTGCCAAGGCCATCCATTCAGGCCTTCTGATTAACTGACATAGTGAAGCTGGTATGGGAGGGGGGACATGCTGTCACCCTGGAAGGTTCCATGAATACTGTCCAGTGAATGGTTGAGGAGGTCACAAGATTATGGCCTGTAGTTGGGAGTTCATGAGATCACATCCAGGTACAACTTGGTTACGTTTCTGCACTGAGGCAGGGTCAGCTTTGACAGTAGTTCTGGCGTGTTCTGTGGTAGCTTCCCCAGACGAGAGCCGTCATTGTGACTGTTTACCTCCTTTCTGTCCATCCCCCCCCTTTTTTCCTCACATCAACCAAATATATGTAGCCTGCCCTTTCAAGCAAAATCTATGTATTTGTTGCTGTGCTCTCAACGGCCCTCTTATGTTAATAGACCATTCATATTACAGTAAAGGTAAAAGTTTCCCTCGCTCGAAAGCTAGTCGAATCCAACTCTAGGGGGCGGTGCTCATCTCCGTTTCCAAGCCGAAGAGCCAGCGCTGTACTAAGATACTAAGACGTTTCCAAAGAGCCTTGGCCTCTTTGCTTTGTTGTTTGCCCTCCAGAGTAAGTGTCTGACCACTGTGTGAGATGGTTTGCTGGCTTAGGTGGACCACTTTTCGGATCCATCAGGGCTCTTTTTAAGTTGTTAGGGTTCCAAGTATCTGTCCTCCCCTTAGAAGATTAATGGTCAGTGTAAGCTATGTTCTTCTATATCTATTCGGGCTACAATATCCCTTTGCAAGAAGAAACCGCTTTCCTTGGGCTGTAACATCTCAAAGAGCCTGATGGAACATAGCCGGGGACCTTCTGGCCTTGAATCCTTGTACCCAGCTGCTGTTTTGATACAGTGTCATTGCTTTCTGTTTCACCAGCACTGATATTGCCTGTCAGAATGACTCCAGATTGCCTGAATTCCAATATCAGCTGGCAACCATGTCCTTTTTCCATGAGGAAAAAAAGTCTCCTCAGGAATCGATAAAGGGAGGCAGGAATTGGGAGCTGCCAGGAGAAGGGGGTGGGGATAAAAAGGCCCAAGCAGGAGGAATTGGGTGTCTTTAACACATGCTGGAAGCTGAACAGGAAACCAGTCAGTCAGGTCAGGCTGGGAATCCTTGCATCATAGATGAAGTGTGAGCCCTGAGAGGCAGGATCCCTGCCCAGGTATACAGTTGGTACCCTGGCCTTGGACCTTGCCCAAATATGAAATCTTGTCAACTCAGTGCCCATCGTAACACTCTGGCATTGTTCAAAGCCCATACTATGGCCAGACATTTCTTTTCAACCGTTGCATAAGCTTGTTCTCTAAGTAACAATTTTCTGCTTGAATAATACGATGGAGTCCACCATCCACCCCTCTTTGCAACGAAACTGCTCCCAGGCCCCTAGTTGAGGCATGTCTGGACGACAAAAGGTTTGTCACAAGTAGGCAGCATCAAAATAAATGCTTGAGTCAGTCTTTTCTTTATAGCCTTGTGGAACCAGCCTGCTCTGACCTGCAGGCCCTCTTCTGCCTTGCTTCTGGGGGTTCCCAACTCCCTGGAGGGGCTTTTCTTTCTCTGTCTCAAGGGTAGCCTGTCACCACCAACTGATCATTGTAGGGATTTCCCACTGGGAGGATTACAACTCCCAGTTTCCCTTCCCTGTTCTGAGAACTTCCTCTGAATCTCCCACTACCCAGTGCTTGGTTACTATGGGGACAGTTAACAGCTTTGTGCGCCTCTACAGAAATAGCCACTTGCCAACTCCCTGGAGCCTCTTCTTTAAAATAGTGTGTCCGAAATGGTGTGTGTGGGGGTCTATGTGGTACAGAGAACCACACTCAGCATCAAATGTTTAAAGTATTAAAAAGAAAATGTATACAAGCATAAATTTAGCACAGCACCAAGACTGAGCAAGGAATATAAATGAAAGTAAAACAAAGTGCAAATCCGCTGTCCGTCCTTCTATACGTGCCCTACTAGATGTTAAAATAGGACAGGTCCCTGCAGCTTAAAAAGTTTCAAATCTCTAGGTGCCATTACTTTCAAGTGGCCTCCAGCCTTCTAGGCCGACCACATGTTTTATATCCACCTGCTCTGGACCTCAGGCCAGCAATCTTTCCCCTTTGATGGATTTCATATGAAGACACCTTCTCTTTCTGTTGCAAGAAATTTTAGAATCTCCCTTTCCCTGCCCCAGTCCTCTCTAGCAAAGGGCTCTCTCAAATTAACCTTTTCAAATCCTGCAGACAAATGACAAAGGCTCCTTTCCCCTTCTTTTCTTCATTTGTCAGCCGCCTTTCTGACAGACCCAAAGCGAAGTACAGAATCATAAAAGCCATGAAATAAAGGACAGAGCAATGCATGTTATAAAACAGGACTGCCCATTAGGTAATTAAAAAGTGCAATAAAGTTGGATTTCCCCAGTAGAGAACAATGAAATACTCCTAACCCTGCCACAAATGTTATTAGTCTTTTAAGGTGCTCCTGGACTCATGCTCTTTTCTGCTGTGATGGACACGGTGACCCATCTTGACCCATCTTTGAGAATGTGCAGGATTAAAATCCAATACATTTTTTTTAAAAAATGGATCAGAAGCAGCAAAAGGTTTTTTGCTAAATAAGGATCCAAAAAGTCAGTGATCCATAGAGTTACCAATTCTGGGTTTGAACCTTACTGGAGACATGCAGGGTGAAGATTGGGTGGGGTGCAGGCCAGTGTTCCCTCTAAGCTGAGTTAGTGTGAGCTAGCTCACAGTTTTTTAGCCTCCAGCTCACACAGTTTTGTCTTAGCTCAGGACGGACAGCTCCAGAGCAAACTAATTGATGCAGGAGCCAAATTGCTCACTCACAACTTTAATGCCAGTTGCTCAGAAAGTAGAATTTTTAGAGATACCAACAGAAAATGAACTTTTGACCAAAAAAAAAATTGGAATAGCTGAAATGAATATATTGTCAAACCTATTGAAGGACAAAAGTAAATGAAACGTAAGAAATAACTGGATACTATTTTATGAATGGGTGGAAAGAAACCTCGAAGACCAAGAACAATGAATACACATAATATAAATCTGCAGAAACTCCAACCTGAACTATAGAGAATTAGACTTATCAAAAAACATAATATGTCAGTGATTAAGTGATACTAGCCTTACTAATTATACAAAGAAAAAGGAATGGGAAACAAAGAATTAAGACTGAAAATATGTAATGGCTGTGATACAAATCTGATGAAATTTTCCTTTATGTTGTACCCCATCCTTATTTTTCCTGTCCCATCTTTCAAAAATCAATAAAAATAAAATAATTTAAAAAACCAAAGTAGAATTTTTGCACACAAGACTCCACAGCTTAGAGGGAGCACTGGTGGAGGGCAGGCCACGCCTCAAAGCAGCCTCGTGGAAGTGATCTCTGTTGTATGGCAATCGATTGTCATTCCGGGAGAACTCCAGCCGCCATCTGGAGGCTGGCAACCGTGCCAGTTCGTGATATTTCCCCCCCCCCCCCATCAACGGCACCGCAAAACCCGCCAGGTTGCAACGGGTTAACCCCGCAGAGTTACTCCGGAAAGAGCGTCTGAGGGTGCCGCCTCCATGTAGGTCCCTCCCCTTCAGGGCTTCCCTTCCAAAATCCAATTGCATTCACACCAGAGATTCGGCTTCCTGATCTACCTCCCACTCCCCCACCCCCCCAACGCCAGGATCCATTGATTTTTCTCTCTCCAAGACCTGGTGAGTTTCACATGCATTTGGATGATGGGGATTGGGGATGAAATGGAGGAGAGCCGGGTAAGTGGGGTGGGAGGAGCGCGGGGAGGGGGCTGCCGCTTGGGAGGAGGCTGAAGAACAATCGTTTGCCTTTTAAAAAGGGAGCCTGCCCTAGGGTTACCACCTCCACCCACGTGAGTCTTGGCGATCTCCCAGACGACAGATCAGCCATTTTCCCCCCGGGGGGGGGGGGGATGGCTGCTATGGAGCATGGACTGGGGTGGCGTTCCTTCCTCTCTACTGGAGTCCCTCCTCTTCCCAAACTTCACCCTTCCCGCGCTCTCCAGGGATTTCCCAGCTCGGAGATGGCAACTGGAGTCTGGCCTTTCTACCCCGTGGAGAGGGGGGCCGCCTGGGAAGCCGACCCTTTGGCATTCCTAACTCAAAACTCTCTTCCCTCTGCTGCACCTGCTGAACCTAGGGTTGCCAGATCTGGTTTGGAAAATACCTGGAGACTTTGGGGGTGGATCCAGGAGAGGGCGGGGTTTGGGGAGGGGAGAGGCCTCAGCATGGTATAATGCCATAGAGTCCCCCCTTCAAAGCACCCATTTTCTCCAGGGGAACTGATCTCTGTCAGCTGGAGATGTGTTGTTAAAGTGGGAGATCCCCAGGCCCCACCTGGAGGCTGGCAACCCTAGCTGAACCAGGAAATCACCCCTGAACATCCTGGGGTGTTGAGATTTAAGGCAGTGCCGCTGAAACGCATCTGGCTTGAAACGGCTTTGCACCTCTTATTTATTTATTTTTTACAACATTTCTCTGC